ACACATCACCAACAGAAAGCGAAATGTTTATGACACCAAAATAATTTTTTTTCCAAAATTTAAAAGAAAACTTACCATGAAAGGGCAAAAATGGCGGTGTCGTCTGCTGCATTCCATAAAGCCCAAACGAAAAAGCACTGCCTGGTAAAACGGGGTTGCCTGGGTGGCCCCTGTCTTCCCGTCCATTGCTGGCACGATGGTGGTGCAGTCCCGAATTACTGAACATATTGTGCAGTGACATTTTTCTTTCTGTTGTCACTGTTCAAATTACGACAACAATCACTATAAATCTGCAGCACTATGGTGGCAGAGTCATGAGAGGCAACATGTGTACTTGCTATACATATACAAACAAATCAACTGTCACATGCACATATGCAGGAACTGTGAGATGATCAGATCTCGCTTTGGCAAACTTGGGTTCTCTCCTCAGGTTGCCTCCTTCAATCATGTGAAATCACGATGAGCTTCCACAGCACAGCACGAACTCGCATAAGTGTACATCACATGCGAACACCCAAGTCACAGGGACCCAACCCTGCTGGTTCTACAGCGGCAGTAAATATCTCCTCTAGCTCTTCCTTTTATAATAACACCACCATCGTATTATCTCCAACACAATCTTCCCCTCTTCCCTTCCACATCCACAATCACCAAATGCCTTTCTCGTATGAAGTGATGGACGTACGTGCCAATATGCTTAATATCCACAATTATTTTTCCCGCTTGCGCTTTAATAATAAACAGCTCACTTTAACTCGTGAGTCACGTTATTCTGGGCACACTAGATCTTTTACTACAACTACTACTGACATCAGAATGATAATAATAGGCATACCCTTCCACCTCCTCTTTGAAAAAAAAAAGGCTCCCCTATTTCATGTATCTCCTGTTCACCTCTAAGGTATTGTTCCATAAAAAAAAAGACAATGTAAAAATAGCAGTCATCAAATATCTTTTTTCTTCACAGCATACTTTCACCTACTGTGCAGCACGTAACCCAGTGAGCTAATGCAGTCATTTTCACAGCTTGCCTTTAAATCAAATCACCAACATGCTCTCCCCCTCCTTCACAGGCATCCGGGTATAGAATACTGTGATATAGCAGCAGTGGAAGTCTTCTTATTAAGGTCCCAGCAATGTTTCCACTCAATTTATCTCTTATGACTTTATGTAAACCATAGCATGTTCATCACACTGAACAAGTTGTCATATAGGTTGCATAATAGCGTGGCAAACTGCCAACGGGATCCGTACAGAAAACAATGCGTGCCTCCTCTCTGTCCAAGTTAGACTAAATAGTGTGAGGTTATCTTCTTTTAAAAAGTCCTCATGCCTCCTTCACTCCTTTCAGCAATCACCACGAGTCAAGAAGTAATTTCCACCGCTAGTTTTTTCCTCTAACATATCGCTAACAGTAGCCCCCTCTGTGATGCTCCACACAGTGTTGAATAATCTCCCTCATAAAAACCTCATTGCGTCTTTTCTCCTTCAGGTATCCACGGGTAAACTAGCAATTTTCACAGCTCCTCTCTCGGCAGCAGTACTATCTGTGACTGGTGCGTGTTGATAAGGCTTTTTCCCTGCAGTTAATACATTATCTAAAGGTCGCGTGGGTCAACTGAGAGTTGACAGCGCCTGAACAAATCTTTTCCACTATGAGGGCAGGCAGGCTACACTACACTAACATATGATAGGTGTGTTAGTGCTCTGTGTAGTACTACTACTGCGTATAACTATACTCCTTAGTACTTGTACTTAGGAGAGCCCAGATGCGTTTTTCCCACCACTTCAATTCCATCTGCCCGTGTCACTCTGATGCATGACAATGTAAGCTTCCTTTGCTGACTGCCACTGGTTAAATTTGCCACTGGCATTCAGCTGGTTATGTTCAACTTGGCAATTCTTTACTCTTCCTAATTCGCTGTATTTTTTATCTGACCTTTTCAGGGCACTTGATGCATGTTCATGAAAAATGGCTCGTTGTCTTATAAAATGACTCCCATTTATGAAAAAGAGGTTTGAAATTTCTCCAAAATAATTCAAAATCTGCTGAAAGTTCTGCAATGGTGTCTAAGAAGGTGACTATTTACAAATATATGAATATGAGCCTGCATTCCAGACTGCCATCACTTACATATTCACTGTGATATCACTTACAAATTTCTCATCACTGACAGGTAATCCTTGTAAAAAATCTCCAAATGTGACATTAAAAAAAAAACTGAAAAAAATTTAATCTTCTAGCCCCATTGTCCATATACACATACAAATGCTCAACACTCACTAAAGTCTTTTTCTTTAACCCACTCTGCTGACTACCACTTCAGAATCTCTATATCCCCGAAGTAGATGTAGCCTAATCACATATTCTAATAAGCTGAGTGCATAAATTGATCATAACCCTGATGTCAGATATTGATCCTGCAGCCTATTTACTATACTCTACCCACATCAACTACAATGACCCTGTTCACATTTTACAAAGACGGATAAAATCTCATTCGATTTGAATGCCCCGATAAAAAACTCTCACAATCGAGTCATCTGTGTATAGCCTGGCACTGTGCAGAATCCACAGTCTTAATAATCACCAAAGAGTGAACGGTTGGATTTACAGCTTGACCTGACACTCACTTGATTGCAATATGACTGCTGACATCAGTTGGACCTAAACCGATTTGCTCTGTGTGAGCAGAGTGTGAACATCCCTACAGGCCCACTGCTGAACCCTGATATCCGTTTCTACTGTTGGTTACATGCATACAACTTACAGCCTAGGGAATTGCCTTTGGAGTATACTATCCACAGTGCCTTATCTTAAAACACAGAGGCCCTTCAAAGAGGATAACCAATGAGGCATTAATCATTCAGATTCTTGGCTGATATGTGTTTCGATAAGAGGTCTTATTGTTTCAGGCATTATTGGATTTTTTCTTACACAAATGTGCTGTCGTTTTGTACTTCATTCTTATTCTGTTCAGAAATTGCCAGAGCCCAGCTATCATTTCCCCCTCTCCATTATAAATATTTGAGCTTGTAAATTCAGCGCCCGCATCTCCCCGTGAAGTAGTATTTATGTCAATGTGCTGGTTATTGATCGACGTTAAAAAAAAAATCAATTTCTGTAGCTTGTGAGCCATGCCTGATCAATTCGCGGGTATAATGAAACTTATCGCCTAATGCAATATTTTTTCGTATTAAATTTGATTCTCTGCCCTGTCACAATCTATTAACTGGTTTTACTATAGAGACCCGGTACTATCAAGAGATTAGAGGCTAATCAATACCCGGGCATGCAGGGAGCGTTGTTGTTAGTCGTTTGCGCTAAATCGCCTTTGTTCTCAGTCCACGCATGGGTCAAAAGTTTGCAAATGGTTGACTCAAAGTGTACGACCCTACACAAATGTGTCAGCCTATCCCTTCCTGGGAATGTCTTGAATCGATCGAGGAAGAAAGCGTGCTATTTGGAGGAGAAAGAGTCTGCGGAGAATATCACACATCTTGTCTTTCCAATCTTTTTTTCCACTGCGGTTTTCAATAGGATAACATGACACCATATATTCCTTTAGAAAAGAGAAATAAGGTCCCCAAAGTGGAAAAGTGTAAGAACCACAGATATCAATATCTTGAATTTTCTTTATTTTTTTTTTCACTTGCACATTTTCTAAGCTGATTTTATGTCAACATATCACATTAGAGAGGCAACTGAAGATCATTTTACTGTCTCTGAATGCACAGGTTAAATTGAAAATGACTTTTTACTGCATAGAATCATTTTTAATACAAGTCTGACATCCCTGTCTTTGACTCATTATCCCCCATAGAAAAAGTAATTTTAAAAAGTACCGGAAATTCTTAAAAAACAAAATAGGAATCCAGGGCATTCAAAAATTTCAGTCCTAGGAATACTTGCAATTCTGTATGTCTGTAATGCTACTTAAGCATCAAATCCCTATCTAATATACCTCGTTCCATTTTTCATAATATCCTGGGGCTTTGGCTTCAGGAAATCTACATGGAGCTGATGAGCAAAATGAACAGGTTTCATTATTTTTGCTTCAATGGAGACATGTTCTCTTTACGAAGTATAATCAATAAAATGTAGGAAGGAAACATTTAAGTTAAGGTGCCCTTGCTTCCAGGCATTCTGAAACTCAGTTATGTTCTGTTTGCTTGAATCATTTCAATGTCTACTAAATTGAAACCTTCAAATAAACAACTAGACATAATATCTCTGAAAAATTTCACTTGTATTTGTCAAATTTTCCTGGATTATCTAAACCCCTGGTTTAGGAGCAAAACAGTTTCATGGTTACAAAATCAAAGAATACTAGGTTAATTTTTTACTTTAAATTCAAGGCAAGTATTCACAGAGAAGAGGATTGTCAGCTGCCTCATCCAACATAGATGGCAGTGAACAGATTCAATCATTGCGACAGTTGAGAACCAGAATGTTTTGAAAAGCACCCCTAACACATTCAGTAATTACATGAGCGTTTCCAGCTAAATGCATGGGGATGTGAAATTAAGTTTACTATGGATCTCCTAATATTCAGTGCATAGTAGTTTGAAACATGATTACACCTCACCTACTCCAATATATCCATATCTCAAAATTTATCCTTTTAAGTTGCATATTAAATTTAGTTTTCAAAGTGAATCATCTTTATTCCAGGTGTTGCTCATAACAATCTGTTTTGATTGATATATTATAGTTTTGTTTAAATTCAGTAGTAATCGTAATTGAGATTTCACTGTAGTTTGCAACATTAAACAATGACCCCATACCCCCCCCCCCCCAAAAAAATAATAAAATAAATAAATAAATAAATAAAAAATATGCCAGGTCAGTAAAATTGTGTTCATGTGTTCAGTAAATGGACACTGTTTCTACTAAAGGTAGGGGTCACTAGACCCTGGTGTCCCCGAGGACCAGTAAAAGAAAACGTCTGTGACACACTCTTTCCGTATTTCTATCACCATACAAAACTTCCTACCTAAAATCTCTTCACCTCGGTTTTCCCCATATTCCTCCTCATCCTGGTCCTCTTTGGGTTCAGTTTTGATTTTTTTCAATGGCTGATTGCTTTCTTCAGGGGGTACCTAAAGATGGACAAAAATAATAAAATCAATGTTATGTAGAAGATATGAACAACAATTAGTCATTTTTGAAAATCTTTTTAATTACAACAAAGACCAAACAACTTACTCATTACACTTAATTCATTTTTCCAGACTGATCATTTTTGTTACTCACAAAAACATAATCTCTGGCAAGGAAGGGCAACTTGACTCTCAGTAGTTTCATTAAACATTAAGGTATTGGAAATAATGCATTGATTTAGGGAAAAATTAATAAGTTTTGTTAGAATTTTTTATGTAACAAAAGTTCTGAATAACTTTAATCAGATTCTCAAGGTCTTAGGCTTCATAGGCAAAACTAANATTACATGGGCATTTCCAGCTAAATGCATGGGGATGTGAAGTGAAGTTTACTATGGATCTCCTAATATTCAGTGCATAGTAGTTTGAAACATGATTACACCTCACCTACTCCAATATATCCATATCTCAAAATTTATCCTTTTAAGTTGCATATTAAATTTAGTTTTCGAAGTGAATCATCTTTATTCCAGTTGTTGCTCATAACAATCTGTTTTGGGAATTTTTGATATATTCTAGTTTTGTTTAAATTCACTAGTAATCGTAATTGAGATTTCACTGTAGTTTGCAACATTAAACAATGACCCCATACCCCCCCCCAAAAAAAATAAAATAAAATAAAATAAATAAATAAATAAATAAATAAATAAATAAATAAAAAATTAGGCCAGGTCAGTAAAATTGTGTTCATGTGTTCAGTAAATGGCCACTGTTTCTACTTAAGGTGAAGGTCACTAGACCCTGGTGTCCCCGAGGACCAGTAAAAGAAAACATTTGTGAACACTTTCCGTATTTCTATCACCATACAAAACTTCCTACCTAAAATCTCTTCACCTCGGTTTTCCCCATATTCCTCCTCATCCTGGTCCTCTTTGGGTTCAGTTTTGATTTTTTTCAAAGGCTGACTGCTTTCTTCAGAGGGTGCCTAAAGATGGACAAAAATAATAAAATCAATCTTATGTAGAAGATATGAACAACAATTAGTCATTTTTGAAAATCTTTTTAATTACAACAAAGATCAAACAACTTACTTATTACATAACTTAATTAATTTTTCCAGACTGATCATTTTTGTTACTCACAAAAACATAATCTCTGGCAAGGAAGGGCACCTTGACTTTCAGTAGTTTCATTAAACATTAAGGTATTGGAAATAATGTATTGATTTAGGGAAAAATTAATAAATTTTGTTAGAATTTATGTAACAAAAGTTCTGAATAACTATAATCAGATTCTCAAGGTCTTAGGCTTCATAGGCAAAACTAAACAAAATGGAGCCCAGCTAAACAGCACTAATGTTGTACAGCATATAAAAGTATAAAATTTTCTAGCATAAACAGCAGACATCTTTTCCTTTTTTTTTTTTTTAGACCATAATTTTTTTTTTATTTTTGTTTTACCTGACGTCTCCAAATGTGGGAGGCCACCAAACTGAAAATTGACAAATGCTTCCACGGTTTATTTCCAAATGTTTTACTATTTGAAATTTGTCAAAAAAACTGACATGACAAGTGACTACAAATATTTTATCCATTAAGTATAACAACACGAGCAGCATATTGTAGAAAGATCTCAGGCAAAAATGAAATTCTTGCAGAAGGCTTTTTGATCCAAAGTATGCCGACAACATGAACAATGCAAAGGAAATTGGACACATTTAATTACTGATGCTGAAATGAATAAATTCCTGAAGAAGACTTTTGCTCCAAAGTAAGCAACGACCAAAGCTCTTAGAGGAAATGAAGGCATGTGCCTCACACATCTCATGTTGTGTCAACCAAGTCTTTGCTTACTTTCAAAACATACCACCAGAGGGAAGCACAAGGTGCCTTCCTATTTGCTGTACATGATTTAAGACTTCAGTATCTTTAAAAAAACTTCAATTCTGCTGTCTGATGTGTCTGTTAATCTACTGATACTTTCTCTTTACAGTGATCTTACTGGCTTCTTACACCGTTTTGTTTTTTGTCTCCAGACACTAAGAAAAACCCAGGACAATTTATACTACTTGCAAATTATTATCATTAATTAATATCATTATTTTGTCTGGGTTTTACTTAAAGCCTTCAGCAGAAATAGCTCAATGGGCAACCTGCTATAACAGTTTTCAATCTTTCAGAAACCAACCCAAAGCCCTTTGCCCAATTTCACACAAAGCTCATTCACACACTTCACCCTAAAATAAGAGCCATACTTGAATCTGCTTAACCTTAAAAGTGAGTAGCATACACCTTTAATTCCACTGCAGTTCAAACACAGATGCCTCTTAGCCACAGGCTACTCTAAGACTTTCAACATGCAATTTCAATTCTATGGTTTGCACAACAGATTTGCAATTAATTAGAGAGAACATGCATTGCTTTTTAATGTCCTAAACCCTCCTCATTTTCACAACCTGTGCTTCAGTACAAAAGGCAACTATTACATCACTTCTCAAGTAATAAAATCACTTTCCTTCTTAAAAAATATGTGATAAAAAATCAATCATAAAAAAATAAAAACCTGTATATAATGAAAGATAATTATTCTCGATATTGATTTACTCACTTCTTTATCTATCTCTCTTTAATGTAAACCAACAGCAGCTATCTATGTATCACAGACAACAAACAAGGTTAACACATATTACGACACGTATTACATTTAAAGCTAAATAAATAACCAAATTATTATTATTTAAAACACACACACACACACACACACACACACACACAAACGCTTTTTAAAATACCTCCCCAGAAATAGTTCTAGTGGCACCAGGTGGTAGTTTGATTAGCTAATAGCAGGCAGATAAACTATGCCACTGGCCACAGGTCAGCCGATCACTGCCCACCTGCCATTCTGTGGATGCTTTAACACTGAGGACTTAACAATAGACCCCCAGGATAATAAATTGTGGTAAGGTATGTGTGTGAACAGCTGTGTCTGGTGTGTGTATATGATTAACTGTACATTTTATTTTACCCCTTGTGTATACTCTTATAAGATTTGTATTAATATTACTGTGCCCAAAAATATACAAAATATAGAGAGCTGACAGATATAACTGAACCATTACAAGCTTGTTGTAAGACATTTCCTTTTTTATAAAATTTACAGATCTTCATTTATTGTCTAAATTGTGTCTGCTGGCCACACAAAAAATTTTAACTTGTCAGTATCTTTTAAATTTTTAAATAACAGAGCATTGCTGAAACCCTTTCAAACCTCCTCTCCTTCCCTCCCTCCATCCTCTCTCTCTCTCTCTCTCTCTCTCTCTCTCTCTCTCTCTCTCTCTCTCTCTCTCTCTCGTATCAAAACTAATATTCCCTGCGCAAACACCACTTCTACTATATGTGTCAACAGAGTGCCCATACAGTGAGTACCAAAAAAGTATCTGTGATCCAAAATCCAGTAAAACAGCATATATCAGGGGCGGATTGAGACTGTCAGAAAATATCTCTGGATCCGCCCCTGTATATCTATCTTCATGTATCAATACAGCTGTTCCTCCACACTTGCCAACTCTACAATGATCCAGTTTACCCACAGGTCTACATAATTGTGGTCTTCTTAGGATCCTTCTTAAGCCTGTTGAAAAGAGACCACAATAAAGGATATACTGCCAGTATTTAAAGGTGTGTTTCTGTTGAAGATAAGCTGCCCCTTTTTTCATGTGATCCTTTCTGTCTGATATGGTTAAGGTAAACGTAGAAACCTAATAAAATCCTCTGTATGGCTTTTGGGTACTATGGCAAACTCTTTCTGAAACCGGCCCCAGTTTTTATGATAGCTGAACTTACTAGTATTTCAGCCTGTGTTTCAAAATCTGATGGATACTGATATATCCATCATAAGCAAGGTTATTGCCACTTTTAAATCACAGTATATGCTGGGGTTGACTGCAGTTATTGTTAGTATTTTGAAACCCTGATTGTCTGATATATACAATAAAAACATTTCATCAACTCTACTTAAAAAAAANTGACATGACAAGAGACTACAAATATTTTTTCCATTAAGTATAACAACACGAGCAGCATATCATAGAAAGATCTCAGGCAAAAATGAAATTCTTGCAGAAAGCTTTTTGATCCAAAGTATGCCGACAACATGAACAATGCAAAGGAAATTGGACACATTTAATTACTGATGCTGAAATGAATAAATTCCTGAAGAAGACTTTTGCTCCAAAGTAAGCAACGACCAAAGCTCTTAGAGGAAATGAAGGCATGGGCCTCACACGTCTCATGTTGTGTCAACCAAGTCTTTGCTTACTTTCAAAACATACCACCAGAGGGAAGCACAAGGTGCCTTCCTATTTGCTGTACATGATTTAAGACTTCAGTATCTTTTAAAAAATAACCTCAATTCTGCTGTCTGATGTGTCTGTTAATCTACTGATACTTTCTCTTTACAGTGATCTTACTGGCTTCTTACACCGTTTTGTTCTTTGTCTCCAGACACTAAGAAAAACCCAGGACAATTTATACTACTTGCAAATTATTATCATTAATTAATATCATTATTTTGTCTGGGTTTTACTTCATACCTTCAGCAGAAATAGCTCAATGGGCAACCTGCTATAACAGTTTTCAATCTTTCAGAAACCAACCCAAGGCCCTTTGCCCAATTTCACACAAAGCTCAGTCACACACTTCACCCTAAAATCAGAGCCACACTCAAATCTGCTTAACCTTAAAGTGAGTAGCATACACCTTTAATTCCACTGCAGTTCAAACACAGATGCCTCTTAGCCACAGGCTACTCTAAGACCTTCAACATGCAATTTCAATTCTATGGTTTGCACAACAGATTTGCAATTAATTAGAGAGAACATGCATTGCTTTTTAATATCGTAAACCTTCCTCATTTTCACAACCTGTGCTTCAGTACAAAATGCAACTATTACATCACTTTCAGTTTTAAAGTAGTAAAATTACTTTCCTCGTTAAAAATAT